ATAGTAGAACAAAGACAAGGGATAATCTCAACCTCTACAATATTTTCGAGTATTTTCGAGTGTGTTCAATAAGCACCATGAGCTATATTATAACCCAATAGTAAGTTTATAAGCCTTTTGTATTCAACAGTTTTGCTATGAAGCCAACAGTTGGATCCATAGTGGAGCCAACCTTCTATATACAACAAGCTAAATTGTATTCAACAGTATTCAAATATACAATTTCTGTAAGCTGAATTTTTTAAAAGTTAAAGCTTGTTTTATAAATTTCTGTAGGTAACTTTTCAAAAAAGTCAATTGAAATTTTTATTTCAATCGACTTATCGGACAATTTTAACACACATCGCATCTATAGATTAATTCAAAATGTGTTGAGCCTAAATGACAAGCTCGCATGCTTTAGATGCTGACATGAAGAATGTCTATACTTCTTAAATTGGTTTGTGTATCAATTTTTCGGTTTGGAATAAGTTTGGTATTAAAAAGAAAATAAAAAAAATAAAAACTTAATAACTGCGCATAATATTGTTCATTTTTTCTCTCAATAAACATTGTTTTTAATTTGGGTAAGTAGCAATCTACCATTTCAAAATTTTCTCCCATATTTCTCTCAAATATCACAAATTTACACATCACTTTCTGCCTCATCTATTCATACCTTTTTCTTTTAATTGTAAGAAAATTCCATAAGGTTCAATTTTTATAAAAACAACATTATTTGTTTTTTCCACCAATTAGTACATCAAAATTCCAAAATAATTTTTTTATTTAGAAATATTTTTTTATTATATATTTCTTAATTCAACACCAGTGTAGTTTGTACTAGTTATTATATCAGCTATTTCTTCAATCATTAGACATAAACTATTATCAGCTATAAGCTCAAAAGTCACTTATATCGGCCAACTTATCACTTATCAGCTAGCTTTTCAATTAAATTTACTAAACATACCCTTTTATAATAAAAATAAAAAAATAAAAAAAAAATAAAAAAATAAAAAAAACATGGGGCACTCTAGCCTTGTGATTGTAGTAGTTTTGGTTCGACTTTTATATACACATAAGCACAACAACTCACTCAACAAAACACACTTCCTTTCCAGTTAAAAAGTTATCTTCTTATTGAAATCAGCAATTGTTACCACTCAGGGTTCTCAGACTTTTAGCTTTTGTTACAAGTTACAACAAATCACTCACGTTAAAGGCACAAGTTTATATATTCACACTCAATATGTCGTAAAATTTCAAGTAAAACGTGTTAGAGAAGTCATCTCTAAGAGGATTAATCTAACTACTAAGTATAATCAGAAGACATGGCAAAACGAGCATCAAAGATTTCTATATTCCTACCAAATTGCTACAAAGAGGTAAGTCCTTCAGTTTCGTACAATAGATTACTATATTTTTGCAGACAGTCACAACATATCATATATAAAAATTTGACTAGTGATAGGGAGCTTCGGTATTTGACAACTTAGTACCAACTCAGTTCACCTCTATCACCATACAAGTTCCTCACCTAAGATAACACATTATGTTCGGAAATAAATTCATTTGATTCATTGATTTTCTTTTTCTATTTCCTAAACTAACCTGCAAGCAGAAAGGAGACACTAGAGACATTCTAAAAAGTTAATCCTGGTTTAATTCTACCACTTAACCTAAAAAAAAAAAAAACACAACATATATGGCCACACTATACTTGATTTCAATGGCCATCCATCAGACATCATATGAGACTGCCGTTCATTTCTGAAAAGCTATAAATTTCTATTCTCTACATTAGTGCAGGTATTGCATATAAGGCAACTAGCATCATACCTTTGTTCCTCTCTTTGCTTCTGCCATAGTCACTACCTGTATCCTCATCATTTTCAGAGCGGTCCCTGAGAATGAAATTAGATTTTTTACATTAGCAGCAGTTAAATAATTCACTTACCTCTTGCACGATACTTTTATATTACACTATATATATGCTGTGCCCTCACCTTTTCTTCTGGCGTTTGTCATTTTCCTTTAGTTTCAGTTGTTCCTCCTCTTTCCGTTTCTTATAGTAGAGCTTCTTTGCGCATCTATTTCGAGAATTAACAGAGATAGGAGTTGGACATTCACGATTTCAAGAAAAAAAATCATATTCTTACCACACATTTCTTCTAATCATAATATATTATGCAAATTCGAGTTTTTCTCGAGAGACGAAAGCCATTAACTAATTTCCATTTCCAGGGCGAAAAAGTTTGACAAAATTTAACCCACATGTGAAACAACAGACAAACAAAAAACCAGGTCAACTACCCAGTTTATATACAATGGATTCTATGCAAATGAACCAATGATAAGCATAACCATTAAGTTCAACTCACTGAATTTCCTATCTACATAGGAATATTTTCTAAAGAAAAAGGTTTTTCTGATACTCATCCCAAGTATGTCGTTGCCAAATAAAGCCCGAATTTAGTTTGTTTTCAGCTATATCACTACCACCTTTCCCCTGCATACACGATCACTTGATACTTTCGATGAAAAGTTTTTAAGCATTTCAGTAAATATAATAGTACAGATAACTGAGACAAGTCTATCCAAATTATTAATAATATCCCAACAGTTGGGTGGTGATTAATGACTAAAAATTAATGACAAATCTTGAACCAAATTAAACCGACAGGAGTTTCACCCACTTACCTCTCACAAGCTACTAATTTCACCAAGGCCTGCTTGTTTTCTCCAGCTTCAAAATAGGAAAAGTTCACCTGAATAACACATAAAATTTAGCAAAGAAAANAAAAAAGATGAAGAAGAAAGACAAGTAGCCTTGTCCAAAATCCAACTGTAATACAGAATTTTTGATACTTCCATAATCAATCTTCATTCGTCATTAACACTGTCTATGCCGGGTAGCTATAAAAGGAATATACTGTTTGAACGACAGATTACTGTATTGGGTAAGATGTAACCAGATGCACAAAAAGTTGGTAAAAATCTAATTATTCAGGTCCACTTGTGTTTACCGGTTTTTATATCAAGATTTTGTTTATATTACAGTATAGTATTTTATTAAGTCCAGACACTTTTCCAGAGAACTGGGCACACATTGGTTATCAGCAATAAACAATTTCAACAACATCCTTGGATATGACTTGCCTCATAGCTTGACAAACCGTCATTTCTGTTGCAGTGCTTATTACCGCATTCAAACTGCCCTGACAATTAAATCATCCTCAGTTAGGCTTAATCTTCACAATAGAAAAGGGGAATACAGTGACTACATCTCAAGTAGATACCAGGATGAGATCAGCAATTCACAAAATAAGAATAACAGAAAACTCTGCCTGCTGATATCAGGAATATCCTAGGTCTTCATCTGATTGCTGAGAAATTAATTACAAAGTAAAGCCACAGACCATGCTAAAGCATTAAATAGGGAAACAGAAGTCAAGTTCCCACTAACTTTTGATCGTGTCAAATCCAAAAGAAAAAAAAAAATATAAAGAAAACTAATGCACTTGCCTATTTGAACACTAGCGGTGTTTTTGACAATTATAAAAATGATTCACAAGTCAGAATACTTTAATTTCATCAAAACATAAGTGATATAGTGAATGCTTAAATAAGTGGAAATTGTTTTACCATTCTCAAATCTCGAAAGATGATAAAATTGATTAAACATCATTTTGAATTGTGTATGGTATGCTTTTCTGTGGAAGTAGAAACGAAACGTCAAGGAAAAGATGATTATAATAGGATTGTACCTTTCCCAGACATTACTTCCTTCTCTGTCCTCCATCTTAGACCAATCTGAAAAGGAAATAAACCATGATTTGGCAAAAAGGTGCGTGTGAATGGGGATGCAAAATGGAAAAGATACATTTAAAGAAAAATTGCACATGAGACACACTCATCTATAGAGCCAAGAAAAATCAACTCATTTAAAGTCTTATTTACAAGGTTAAAGCATTGCATTCTGGATTGGGGAGAGAGAAGTTTTCACGAGCGTCTCTTACATTTCCAACAAATATTTTATAAATGTTCTTTTAAGAACATCAAGATGAAATATAGTATCAACCGACATGGAGATACCAATATCATGTATAGCACCAATTTAATGTATAGGCTTATTTGACCTTTAATTCCCAGATTGACTTGAGCAGCATATTTATTGATTCCCTTATATTTTTGTGAATTTTCGCGCAGCAGTATTCAGTCTCCATTAATGCAGAAATTCGAGAAAAAGAACAACATAAAAATAAAATGCATAGAACGTATGAAAAAGTGGCTATACCTTGCCGGTCTTGTACTGAGACATATCGGCTATGCAGTACCTTCAACGAGTTAAATGAAATAAACATATACTCTGAAAAGTCATTTTTATATGCACGTGCGACAGCTATACAGTAACAATGAAAAAAAGGATTAATGAAAAAAATTTGTGCAACGAAGTATGCACCAAGACATTCGATGGTACCTAACAATATACCAACAGTTTAAAATTACAAATTTGTTTCCAAAAAAAAAATAGACACACTTATTTCTGACCTACATCTTAAATTACTTGCTCATATTGTGGTGATCTATCACCAAAAACGAGATATTTTACTAATTCACACTGTTACCAAATTCAGACAAAAAATAACAATAACATTTATGATAATAAAGAAATGCAAATCACAAATGTAAGGATACTCCTTAAAGAGCTTGTCGTAGTAGCGCTTCACCAGCCTTTGCTCCCAAGAAGGATTCATGTCATCTTCTTCTGTCCTTATGAACCTTTTAGGAAAAAGAAAAAACACTTGTTAAGGTTAATAAATGAATAAATGTGTGTAGTGCACATATAGATTAGACCGTCTGTGATTTATCATATATAATCGACACATATTTTCAGATTACTAATAGCTCTAACATGTTTTTCATTTTCGCAACTTCTTTTTGCAATGACAGTGATACTGTAACTAATATTATTACTCAAGACTTATTTACATTTAGATAATTTTGTATATTCTATTTTTCTTGTTACAAAACTTAGAACTCCAAAAATCTAGGTCAAAACGAGAGACAAAAAGTGTATAGTTGACTTGACTGTACAATATTTTCTACTGTCATAAGGAGAGGAAAAGAAATATTAAGTTCGATAGTACTCAAACACTTAACCCAAGTTACCTAATCCAACAACCCCATTTCCCCTTCATAAATACAAAAGTTACATTTCTCTCTAATGTTCCCTTGCTTTGGCTCCATTTTAAGTGTTTTGATAACTGTTGTAGATTGAAACAAGTTGAACAGTCCATCTATAAGGCCCAAAATAACCAAAGAAACAAATTATCATGATAATTATCTATTTAGTGTCGAGATATCTAAACACAAACTACTTAATCCACACGCATCACCAAAATCTTCACCAGCCTCCACTAGAGATGACCACGCAGAACCAGATCCCAGTTTTAATGTGACTGGTACAATCCCAGTTAAGGCAATGGTGCTCTGAAAACCATCGAACCAGCTAGATTTTTATTTTTCATTTTGTAATTCTTTTTTTTTCAAATAAACAGAATTCCCACCAATTCATTCTCAATTCTTAATTTCTTTCATTTGTATTACACAACTCTCACTGTATTCTTCTATTTGTACTTATGTTGTGCTAAAATAATCAACTAGCTACTTAACCCCTCCAATTTGATTTGTTTATTAAAGATCTAGTTGTAGTAAAGGCCATATTGTCCAGCCAACTGCAACCTAATATCACATAACTCAATTGTGCTTCAGAAAAGGCAGGCACGCAAAAAGCTGTGCAAATTACTCAGTTGTCTAAAATCTTTTACAGCACAAATAAAACATTAACTTCAATAGATGAATAAGATATATCACAAAGTTGAAAAGTAAGGCCGTGACCTGGCACACTAAATAACTGAGCACAGATAGACCTTATGGAAACTAAATGTATAAAATCAAATAGAGTTAGAAATGGACTCTGCCTGTATCCTTCTCTAAGGGTGTCTTGATCGGTTTTAACAGGCAATGTTCCTTCAGTGGACTTCTGTTTCCCATAGTAACCAACTGCAAATAAACAAATCCGTGAAGAATTGATATAACCCCAAGGGATAATATAGAGAAAATGAGCTAATAAGAGAAAAGGAAATAAGATAGAAGTACAAAATATTCGTCTTATTTCAGCTTCTTTCAAACTATAATAAGGTAAGCACTATCCTCGTAGTCCATGAACGCATTTCCAATTTTCATTTTGAGGTTGTTATTGATAAAAATAGATGATAATATTTCTCGGAGACACCTACGATACCTTCAAAATCGTGCTACTTAACGTGAAACAATCACATGAAATTTTCAACAGACAGAGTTTATTTTAAGTTTTAGTTTCTTCGGTTCTTTGTGAAGTGTTCATAGGAAATAAACTTTGCATCAAGAAACTATAGAAAAAATCCCTTCAGCAAATTCCCATCATATGCTAAGCAGTAAGCGCAAGAAACTGAGCCTCGTCTGAAGAAAACAGGAACTCTTATGCCAGAAACCATGATTACAGGCTCCTATCTCTAATTACAAACAGGAACATACGCAAAATTGAGTTTGTTACTTATAGGCACACAACCCTGTAACGCAGTGAAACAAAACTGACCGTAATCATCCACGAATTTCTTGTGGCGTTCGTAGGCATTGAGCCCTCGTATATGATCCTGATACTGCCTGATTTCAATAAATTGAGAAAACCACAGTACAAAAANATCAAACCATACGTTATTTAGCAACATCAAAAGCAAATGGACGAGAAAGCAATTATATGTGAGATGGCTTTTTAACATACTGTTTTCTTGATTGTTTGTCGAAAATTGTTCGCTTGATGGACCCAAAAGAAGCCATTTGTTTCTATTCCTCTAAATACAGGAGCTGGAGATTGCAACTCCTTGTTGGGTGTTTCAGGAGTTTTTGTTTTGGTCCGTTAATAGGTGTTTACTAAGTAATACTCCCTCATTTTTTTTAATAAGTGTCATTTTAAAAAGTTATAGAGATGGATATTTGAAAAAAGATGAAGAGTACTACTTCTATTTTTTTTTAAATGTCATTTTGGTTTTATCAACAATTAACCAAATAAATGACGTTTTGGATATTTTGTACATACTACCTTCTATTTTTAATAATGTCATTTTGGTTTTATCAGCAATTAACCAAATAAATAACGTTTTGAATATTTTGTACATATTTTTTCATAATTACCCTCATCTAGCTAATAAATGCACTACGTCTTTCTATATTCACTCTTCATCTTTTCTCAAAATATCCATCTTTATCCTCATTAATGAGAGTTATTATTGGCAAAAAAATTTCTTAATTACTGTGCAACTTTTTAAAATGACACTATTAAAAATAGGAGGGAGTAACGTTTTTTCTCGATATATGGGCATAATTAATTTACAAAGATCAATCAAACACCATCTTTTTCCAACCCGACCCAGCCCATTGGGTCGACCCAGATCCAATCTAGTAGTTGCTTTGGACCGGGAGACAATAGAGACTATCAAGGCCGGTCAATCCGATTTGAACTAGTCACAATATTTTTTTTAAAATATATTTTATTTTAAATATAAAAATATGTATTTATTTATGTGGTAATATCTATTATGAGATACAATATTAATAACACTTTAATGTATAAATTTTTTATAAAAAATATTTATTTTGTTATTTTTATATATAAATGTATATAATAAAAATACTATATATAATTTCTAAACTTAGTTACCCGACGAAGGGATTGACCCAGGGTTGAACCGGTGATCTGGTCACCCGAAGGCCTGCCCAAGTCGAGTTTAAAAACATTGGCAAACACATTAACAAAATTCTAATAATCTTAATATGGAAAGAAGTTGGGTATCTAAACCTCTTACAAAAATCATTTATCCCCGATCCAAGCCATGAGAACATTGCAATGAGGATCTGGCATTAGACATGACCACGGGCCAAAACCGAATTTGCTTGAGTTCGAGTTCGGCCCGAACCTAACCTGAATCGGATTGGAATCAGCCCGTTGACCAAGTTCCTTGAACCGACCCGTTGACCACAGGTCGATTCCAGTTCCAAACTGGAATCAGAGCCAACGGGACTTTTTCTTTTGATTTTCTTATTATTTTTTGTTTTTTCTTTTTAATAAATCATATTGGCTCGAAACTGGCGGTTCATTGAGCCGACCGGTGCATATGATAGGGTTGATTCAGGGCCCTCCAAACCCCGGCCTGGAACAGGCAGTTCCGACTCATAATCGGGGTTTTGCCACGTCTAACAGGCATAATTCCAAAAATAAAAGCAAATGAACCATGATCGTTTGATCTTATGTTTAAGTGGTTTGATATAGTCATAACTCGGCTAAACCGGAACCACAACCTCGTAAGCCAACAGGTTATGTAGCTCGGCCAGTTCAACAATAGTCTAGGTCAGTCCTGACCTATACATCCAGTTCGACCTATTTATGGACCTACACGATGGAAGTGGGGAGCTGAGAATAGCTCTACTATGTGCGAGCTAATGACCTAGGTAACCTATGAACCCAGTAGGAAGACCAATACATATAAGGACCTAAAGAAAAAAAAAACCTAGTATGAGCATGACCTGATAAGAACGGTGAATGTGCACCATATGTGAATACAACAGTGTGAACACAATCAGATAAGGATGAACCTCGGGCGGCGCTTGGGTAGGAAGTTTGTACTTCGGGCAGCCCTTGGCAGCAAGAATTATTGGGTACGAAGACACATAATTAATTGGGCACCAAGGTACTCACCCTATATAAAGGGACAAGGTACAACTGAAATATATTCTTCTCTCTTTGATCTCTCAATATTACCACATTCTTTCCAATTTCGATCACTGACTTGAGCGTCGTGCTCACGCTGAGAACTTCTCATGTCCCTTGTTTTGTAGGTTATCAACTTTACTTGGACGGTGGAAGGATTTCAGTTCCCGGTTCAAGTAGATCCTTAATCTGGCACATCATTGCCCCCTTTTGTGGAGATTTCTTGAAGGAACTAATAGATTTCACACCCAACTCTATACGAACGAAATGGCTGATAAAGAGTCATTGAAGAAGAACTTGTCTGTGGAATTCAGAGAAGCTTGGACACACTTGTGAACCCCTTGGAACCCAACCCAAAGCCAGTCATGTATGTATTAGAAAAGACACTGTTGAACAGTCAGGCGCCACAGTTAGGCTTGCGCTTAAAGAAGATGATCTAAACCATACCCCCGGAAGACGTGAACAGCTGCCGATTTTGATAGGAGCCAGCCATGGCTCACCAGTAACACATACACTTGGGATGGGGCAAGAATGTCGGGAAAATTTTGGAGGTTGCACGAAACAACCAGAGGGAGTGCAGAAGCAGAAGGGAATGAGATCTCTCCCCAAGACCTAGGTAGCCGACTTGATGACAAATGATGAGTCTCACTCGAGACGAGTTACAGAAAATTATTGACCATGAAGTTGTTGCAAAGGTGGATCAAGTTCAGTTCTCCCATTCAACCGACTTGCATGCTACTACACCCACAGGGGTGAAGGACGAGTTGTCGCCAGTAAAGGTGCTAATCAGATCAGAACCTCCAAGGGATGACACTCTGTAGAGGCTATCTGCGCAAATTCGTGATCTACAAGCAAAGGTTGAGGGCAAAAGGAAAGCTAGGACTAGAGATCACTCATTCTCACACGAGATTTTAGAAGTTGATCTACCCTCAGGATTGAGGGAGCTCAATCTCATTTATGATGGGTCTATGGATCATGCGTGATACTTGAGGAGCTAAAAAAATATCAAAGTGTTGAACAGGTACAATGACCCAGTCCAATGAGAGCTTTTTTGGCCACATTGCAAGGACCGAAACAAAGTTGGTTCCATTAGCTTCCACCAGGATCAATATATGATTTCAAGGTATTTACCTATAGCTTTATTAATCAGCTTGCGAATGTGAAGGCACACGAGAAGACCTATTTGAGCTTGATAGGAATGTCGCAGAAGGCGAACGAGTCGCTAAAAGATTACGTAGCTCGATGCACGAAAGCTTGTGTGGATGTGCCCACGGCGTCTGAGGAAATTAAGGTAGGAGGTCTGATGAGAAGATTGAACTAGGTTTTTACAGGAACACATTATCCAACCAACCCGGTAAGACCTTTGATGAGATACTAGAAAGATGCGCTAAGTAAATAATTGTGGAGTAGTCGGAGGTTGATTTTCTACAGCCATCAAAACCAGCTAAAGTGAAGGAGACACGAGAAGAGAGGAGGGAAAAAGACATGGTCCTCAGAGAGATAGAAAAGATCAGAGGAGGTCAGCTAGGTGGAAAGGTATACCTCTAAACAATTGGCAGAGGTATGATAAATATATGCCATTGTCGGTTAACAAGGCTCAGATTTTGGAGTTCATGGAGAAGAACGTCCATGAAAGTCTGGTGACTTGGATGAAAACTATAAAGAATGGGCCAACGCAACCTAAGAGTAATTAGTATTGTCGTTTCTACAAGAGCTGTCCGAGGGCCCTTGCTCGATCTGTCGATGCTCTTGGATTTGCGACGTCCTCATCGACCTGAGGACTCTTCGACCTGTAGGGCCTTTGATTTCTGTTTGACCTTTAGGTTCACCCGGTTAGGTCATGGTGTTTTCTAGGTCTAGTTGACCTGATACGGTATCCCATATCTAAGTTGTTTTTTAAATAAAATAATTAGCACTTACAAGGCGTTCGATTCATAAAACACTTAAATGCAATCGTGTTTTTGGCTCGTTTCTCCTCCTATCAAAATGGACTTCTAATAGTTTGGTTTTCTTTGTCGATCAACATTAATGAACAAATCCTATAAGGTGAATAGTCTTTCAGTTTGTTTTTTATAACATTGGGGATATAAAAAAATGTGGTTGCAGGAAAAAAACTGGACATTTGAAAATCAACATCTCATTGTCAGACAGTGACAACAAGATATCAATGCTAACCATGAACTCTATGCAAAGCTGGATATATGGGTTCAACTAGAAAAGATACCGCTAAACTAGCATTGTGGTGATGTGGGACTAAAAATTGGGAAAGGTTTCCACAGAGTTAAGAATGTTAGGATTGGGCCTGTGGTGGTAACTCGAGAAGGGGTATAAGAATTCTAGATTGACCTTAACGAACATTTTCTTAGATGACGAACATTAGATTGAAGGATAAGGTGCATCGGGCATTGAACAAAGTCACCATTAAGAACAAGTATCCAATTCCAAATGCTTTGGACTTGTTTGACAGTTGGCTCAAGCAAGATGGTACACGAAAATTGATCGTCGGTCTGGGTATTGGTAGGTGCGTATTTCCCCGGGTGATTTATTTCTAATACGAGAAGTTGGTAAATCTTTGTGGATGGATTGGTCATCTAGCATAGTGTAAGGATGGAGGACATTGGTAAAGGCGCTATCAATAAAATCAATTTGGCGACTGGATCAAAGTGGGGAATAAATCCTCACAGGCAGATACATCAAGGTCGAAGGAGTTAGCAAAAGGTGATAATGGAATCAAATTTGGAGGGGGAGAAGAAATACCCAGTCAAAGACAAAGGGAATAAGAAGTCAAGATTGAGTAAAAACAATAAAAGGGTCAATAGAATCAAAATATGATATTTGTAATGCTGTGAATAGTTCTTTTTTTTTTTTAACTCGGGTATGGAATCATTCTTTAACTCTCTTATACCAAAATCCTTCGTTGATAATTATAGGTCTATCAGTCTTTGTGCGGTGCTCTATAAAGTTTCTAAAAAATTCTTGCTACTAGACTGAAAAACTATCTCCATATCTACATTAGTGCAAATAAAGCAACTTTTATCCTAGAAGTAATTCACTTTCCGAACAGGCATAGATCATCGCTTAAGAGTTATATTGTTTTAATGTGATCTTTATAAAATGGGTAGCAACATGTGCTTCTTCTACTTCTCATCAGTATTTACAAGTTTTAGTGGCCATTTGAATGAAAGGGGGACATTTTATGAATGTTGCACATCCATTTGATGTGGGCCCTCCTCTGTGGTTCAAAGCATTGAACAAAAATTGCACCCGTTTTCTTTATATATATATATAATCCAAACACTTGAAGGATAGTCACGCTTTGCAATGATATCATGACCAATAATTTGTCAGACCATTTGATGAAGTATTGTTATCCTCCCCATCATTTCTATGTCTATAAATATACCACGGTTCTACAACTTTGTTGCACAAAATAATTTTGGAACTGATTCATTTGTAATCATAATTTAAGTTTTTTTATCAGATAATGTTATTTGTATTTTCACGAATTTAAAATTGAGTCGTCTAATTTTAAAAAAAAATTATACATTTATTTTTCTTTGAGAATAAAATATAAAAATAATATCGAATGAATGGATCACAAGTTCCATATATTTGCATTTAAATAATTCAACGTAGAAGAGTGTTTAAAGAGCGAGATGTTTGGTGGAAAGATGGTGTGGATATGATATGGATGAGAGAAAGTGTAGCTTATGACTAAATGAATGGGGATGAACACGGATTCCCTATGTGAAATAGTTTTGCAAGATTGAAAGACAATTTTTAGCAAAACACGGGTCCGAGAATAGAATACCTTGCGGTTACCTGTAAGTATACGCATATCCTTCGTGAAATAGTTGTATAAACAATTGCATTTTTCGAGGCTAACTAGTCATCATTTTTTTAATAACAATAATAAATGTCTTCCACAAAAAAGGGTCTATGAATACACTACGATTGACCTATGATGTATCACATTGTCTTCGCAAAGAGTCGCACAATGACTTGCATTTTACAATTAATCGCGACATTCAAACAATCATTTCTGCATGAAGATGAATTAATGATTATGAGGCAACTTGAAACATTACATTTCATGATAAATGTTGCAGTTATTGAAGTCCCAAAATTTTAATATACATCCATAACACTATCCACAACAAAAACAATTACTACCAAAAAAATTGTAACAAAAAAAAGTGAAAATATATTTTATGGTTAAGATCAACTTCATCTGCATCGCTATAACGATAAGGAATTATTATTACATTTTAATAGTTTATTAATCATGTATTAATTTTAGTTAGAATAAAGTCTCACGCCAAATTAGTTTCAAATGTAAATTCTACCTCATAAGGTCGATACCTATTTTCGACCAAAGATTATAACGTAGTTCACTTCGAAAACAGTCGGAGGGCTACCTGTAAAGTCGTTGCTGGTCCCAACGGTGGCAGTGTTATTTTTTATAGGGGATGGCGAACCTTCCTCCACGACAATGGCTTGAAAGAAGACGACACCATTGTTTTCAAACGTGTCCGCATCGACATGCTTGAAGTTGTTTTTTAATAGGGATGGAAGTGAAAAGTTTGTTTCTTCTGTGGGAGATAAAGCATCTTATGCTGGTCCACAAGATTTTATGACTTAGAATTTTTTTTTATATGTAATATTTTTTTTATTCTAATATTATTAAATATTACGAGGTATGAATATTTATGTTCAAAATCAGTCTTTTTATTTATTTTATTGCAATAATTTATTAGTTTACTCATAGAATGTTCATTCACATATACAAAAATATTTATTTTTACCTAATATCTGTATATTCGTTGCTCTTCGGAATTCTATCGTACCGTATATGAAATGCTTAGACTTTGTTTTATGCTTAGACTTTGTTTTTTGTATTATATACTAACTATAACTATGCGACAATATGCGTCAGAACGTCTTTCGTGTAATAATCTTAGATTACTTACGAATTTACCAAAAAAAAGAATTTCAAATACTAATAATCACATTTTTTTTTTTTTTTGAGATAAAATTTTGCATTCAAGCAAATTAAGAGTTCAATACATCATAAAGAAAGATGAAAAAACAAAAGGAAGAGAGCCCTTCCAAGAGAAAGAGAAATGAGACACTACCGCCCAATTCGCAATTATATGGGCCACCTGGTTCGACACTCGGGGGATGTGTTCACACTTACTACAATCCAAATGAATGGTTATGTGGATCACATACTTTAGTACAAATAAAATAAAAATAATGGTTCTGTGGATCACAGTTCCGACGCATTTAAATGAATACAACGATACTGAGATTCAAAATAGTTGTATATCTTTGACAGTCTGTTGTAGTGTATCTGAAACGCTTCGACTTTTTTTGCATTAAACATTAAATATGCGACATATATGCGTCATAACAACTTTCGTGTAATGATTGCAAATTACTTACGAAATTATAAAAAATAAAATTTCAAATCTATATATATATATATATATATATATGTATATATATATATATAATAAGAATCACCATTTTTTAAAAATGGAAAGTCAAATTTCAGTCAACATTAATTACCTATCATTCTTAGTAACTTTTTTTTCCTAATAATCATATTAACAATATATTAAAAGAGTGATTAACATGCTTTGTTATATAGATACGTGATTTTCACTTAAAATTGAAATGGTAATAGGCTTTGTTCATTAAAAATTGACAACATGTTAACAAGATTTTTCAATTTATGAGGCTTTATTCATAAATTTTTCAACATGTAACAGCATGTTAACCATTTTTCAAAGCCTATTAATACATTACAAGTTTTAATAAGAATTACCATGTGAATATGACAACAATATTTATTTATTAATTCATTTCAATTTTTAATATTCCCCAAACTTCAAATAATCATATTAACAATACGTTTATATGACAACATGTTTAATGATTAATGAATAGTTATATATTATTTTATTAATATTTATGTGAATAAAATAATATTTTATTATAATTTTTATTAATGCACAGTGAATATGGTTTTGAGAATCGAACCATCATCGAAACGATCAGTTATTCTATTAAATCATTTGTAGTTTGTTCAGATTTTAATTTATATACATTTTAATATAAATCATTCTAGAGTACTTTTTGTAATAAATTTTAATAAAATGTGTTACTTAAATATCTAAACAATTTATAAATTCAAATGTTAAAACTAATTGATAAACAATTTATAAATCTCTATTTTATTTAAATATGTAATTTTATTTAAAATAATTTTGAATGTAACAAAATTTATTTAGAAAATCGTAACGATCCTACCAGTCCAACTGACTGATGTTGACGGATTCAATAGTAAATATTTTATTCAAGCGAACTACACTGTTTATAACCTGGTTCTCGGTCCATCCGATCGAACTGTGTCCAACCTGGTTTAATTTAAAAACAATGGGTAAATCATAATTAATGATACTATATATTTAATTTATAATATAATCGTAATATTATTTTCCCGTGCATCGCACAGGCCGCGCACTAATACTAATTACATTATTTAGTATAAGTTGAGATAATTTTATTTTGTACGTAGTGAAAATAAAAATAAAAAATTTAAAGTATATAATCTTATTTATAGGTCCCGCCTATGCCTAGCGAGTTCTAGAAAACTGCTTTTACTAGAATACCGTGGGAACTTGACGGGGCAAGAAGCATTTTTGCATTTGTAAAATATATCTAGAATACTTTATTGCATATATGTTATATTTTAATATATTCAAAAAGCCAAAAGTTAGAATGGACAAAGCCATAACATGAATGATTCGAAATTTAGAACTGACAATCACATATAAAGCTTCAAAATTTAGAACTGACAATCACGTTAAAAACAAATTAGCAGAAAATAACCATTGATCAAATCGATAATAAAAACGATTCAAAAAGCCAACATTATCAACAACGCAAGATTATTAATATCATTTTTTTTTCTTAGCCGTCATGAAAGTCTAATTCCTAGTGACACCAATCCTCATGAGGGAAATATAAGCTATGAGCCGATACCCCACAAGCAACACAGCCATAGTGATGACAGACACGACCAAACCATCGAGCCCAACAGTTGCTATCGCCGGGAAATCCTCAACTCGACAAGTCTTGTTAGCAGCACAAGGATATGTCTCGCCAGGCGCGTATTGGGAAGCCAAAAGTAACTTGTACGTGTACTGAGGAATTGAGATGTATTTGATCCAGCCCACAAATCTAGGCACGTGCTGAGCATAGTAGCCGCTAGACAACAGAGAGGTGAGCATGATAACCGACCCAAGCGTAATGGCCGATTTCGAGTCCATGACGACTGCACCAAGTGCAAGACCGAGCCCTTGAGTACACATCACGCTGTATAAGAGAACGAGTAGGCCCAACAAAAAGGATCCTATTTTGGCCTTGAGACCCGCCATCCAATAGGTTATGGTGTAGGCTACCGCGGGAAGGACTAACTCCATTGGCAAGTCACCAAGAGTTCGAGCCATGAAGTAGGACGACAATCGGTACATGCCGGAAGACCTTTCCTTGGAGAGTATCGTGCATTCTTGAGGGAAAGTGAAGATAGCTTGAAATAGAGGGTAGAAGCCCCAAAACGACGAGTAGAAGAAGAAAAGCCCGACCTACACATCATTCACAAATTTAAACACATGATGATCACTCTAAAGGTTGGACTAATGTAAATGGCCTATATAGATGCAAAGTTTTGTTAATTTGTATTTAATTAAAGATTCGACCTGGTCTTGTAAGTGACTGGTGTTGGATTGCCACCAGATTAGACCGCTCATGATAGCCACGACAAGAACCTCGACGACCTTGAGGATGGAAAACGCGTCGTGCCTCCTTTCTTTGATCCCTCTCGTAAACAAAACCGAGAATTGTAACCACCAACTGTTTGGCCACCGCGTACTTATTGGCTCCTTTCGTGAGAAACGCAAACTACTTCCGTCGTCATCCGCAACATTTATTTCGCTATCCGAGAGATTTGTCATGTAAGCCGCCACCAACGTCTTCTGAATCTCAGCTCGACCCTCGTCCGAATCCACATTCGACGTCGAAACACCTAATAATGGGACGACGACGTACGAGAAATTAAATTAACTCAAACCAACTTTATCCACAAAGGAAAGAAAATACTCACCATTCGCAAGATCCAACAAGAAGTCGGCCGGATTCATGGCGACGTTCGGAGCAAACCCGACTCCCGAGAAATAACCGAGCGCGTCCGAGCCCTTCCCAAAAAACAAAGGACTCCCATCGCACAACAGAAGGACCTTATCAAACTCGTAGAAGATCCTACTCGACGGCTGGTGGATCGTCATCACGACAGTCCTCCCCCCGTCGGCCAGCCCGCGCAGGGTCGTCGAGACGAGCCTCGACGCGTTCGTCGAGTCGAGGCCCGAAGTGGGCTCGTCGAGCAGAAGAAGGCCCGGGTTCACGAGCATCTCCTGCCCGATGCTCACGCGCTTCCTCTCCCCTCCCGAGACGCCCCTCGTGAGCGGGCCCCCGACGATGCTGTCCCAGCACCTCGTGAGCCCGAGACGGGCTCCCACGGAGGCCGCGTGGCGCGCCTTCTCGGCCGAGGTTAGGCTGCTCGGGAGGCGTAATAGGGCCGTGTAGACGAGAGTTTCGCCCACGGTTAAGTGAGGGTGGAGGACGTCGTCTTGGGTGACGAAGCCCGTGGCACGCTTGGTGGCGGAGGAGAAGGGCCGGCCGTTGTAGGTGATGGTGCCGGAGAGACGGCTGCCGGAGAGGCGGCCGGCGAGGGCGGTGAGGAGGGTGGTTTTGCCGCTGCCGGAAGGGCCAAGCATGGCTAGGATCTCGCCGGGAATCACCGCGCCGGATATGCCTTTCAGGATTCTTCTTTGTTTGAGCTCGTACGCGACGTCCTCGAACTGGGAGAGGATTTCGTGAGATCCGAATTCATAAAAGAAAATTAAACAAAAAACAAAAACAAAAAAATGTACCTTGAGAGTGACAGCAACACTGGATTTTGTGAAAATTTCATCCACGCTGGCTGCTGGAGTTTGCTCCTTCATGTTATAGTCAATGTATGAATTCTTGTGTACTGGGGCTGTGTTAACACGGAGATATGAAAATATATGAATAGTCGTGTGTACTAGGGATTGTTAACTCAGAGATGTGAAAATATATATATATATATATATATGAATTCTTGTGTACTGGGGACTGTCAACTCTCGGAGATATGAATTCTTGTGTATTACGGTTTAAGTCAATGCTAACTAATCTGATTCCTTCCAAAAAATAGGAACTGCTGTTTAATTTTCATTTCATACAATAAAAAAAATTAAAGATTATATTAATATAATCTGATTCCTTCTAAAACTAATTTTATTTTGACGTGTTATTCTTTTCCAATAAAAGTAATTTATGTTTCATAATATTTCTAATATCTCCAAACTAGTAATTAACCTGTGCATTTGTACAGAGACGAATACTTTAAAAACATAAAAATATAAAAAAACAAAAATAAATCATAATTTAATTCATGAAAAAAAAATATGAATTAAGAAAATAATTCTCAAAATTGATTTTGATCAAGTAATAGCTATGGAAGAGCCGTTACAACCATTTACTTTAAGCTAATACACCCGACCATTTTCATGAGTGGGTTTGACTTAAAATTTGAGTACAATTTTGTAACTCCCTTGATTGGTTTATGCTCATAATTTATGGCATTCAAATAAGATATTTTGTAACTTAAAAATGAAATTGACTGATGAAAATTTTGAAGGGAGAATAAAATTTAATGCATGAGAATAAAATTTAATGCATGGTAATAAAATTAAATGCTTTGTTGCTTCTCTTTATATATACACACACACACACATACACACACACACACACATATATATATATATATATATATATATATATATATGTATATATATATATATATATATATCAGAGAAAAATTAGTAGCCACAAACTAATTAAATAAAAGTAATTTATGTTTCATATTCTTAATATCTCCAAATCAGAAAATAATGAAGCATAAAAATTCTCTCTATGAGAGCGATCTTATTCTCTCTATGAGAGCGATCTTCTTTTTTGGTTCTTTCATTCACTAAATCTTAGCGTCCAAATCCTCAGATTGATACTAGTTCATATTTTTCTGAATCATTTTCATCTACCAGCAATTATTCTTCTTGAAAAGGGATTCTCCAATGGGAAACCCTCCGTGCGTAGGGCAAGATGAGGAGTTAGCTCAGCGCCTTGAAGGGTTCTCTTTATCCGATCGTGAAAACACATTCATCGATATAGCTCGAGAAGACATCAAAATCAGTGCAGAGGTATGCAAGAGTAGCCTATTTGGGAAAATAATAGGAGAAAGACGAGCCAGTTGGATCGGGGTGAAACGTACAATGAGTCACATTTGGCGAATACAACAAACAATGGAGGTCAAGGAGCTGGGACCAAATTTCTTCCAATTCATTTTCCAGAGCAAAGATGATCTAAACAGAGTGGCAAAAGGCACAAATTGGATTTTTGACAATCAATACCTAGTGTTGGCAGAATGGCAAGAGGGGCTCAATCCATCACACCCTATATTCTCTGAGATTAACCTATGGGTCCAAGTATTTAACCTCCCCTTAAATTGGCTGAGCACTGAAGTAGGGGTTAAACTTGGCAGGGTTTTTAAGAGAGTGAACAATGTAGTAGTTGTTGGTGCTGGAAGTCACGGGGGTCGAGTAATGCGTCTGCTGGTTACAATAGATAGTCTTGAAGCTTTACCAAGGTGTGCGCATATAAGGCTAGATGACCAAGCTGTGAGTGTTGGGTTCAAGTATGAAAAGCTGGTGAACCTTTGTAACTATTGTGGTCACATTGGTCACTTGGAAAAGGAATGTACCATTAGAGTAGCAGACATCAAAGCTAACTGTCTTAATGAAGGGCAATACGGCGATTGGATGCGAGCAGCTGATTCTCAAAATTGGGCTGGCTTAAATTCCACAGTTTCCAGGAGTTCTCCACAATCTGATTCACAGGCATCTCCTAACCCTTCTAATCCTCTTCCTACATCTAACAGCCAAGTTGAAGAAAATAATCAGATTATCCCAGTTCAGAGTGTCACTACCAATCACAACATCAAAAATCCAGAAATCCCTACTGCTTCAAATTCCCCTTCGTCAAACATGAAGCCTACACCTCAGAATCAAGAGCAGCCTAATATGCAAATTGAAGTCCTAGAGGCTACTTCAAGTACCCCAATGGACCTAGTTCCTACTCAGCCCCTAATCCTAACAACTGTTCCAAGTACCTCAGAGGCTCATATTTCCAATCCCAAATCTTGGAGGAGATTGACCAATAAGGCAGGTCGGCTTCAGAGACTAGAGGAAATACCTCCTTGTGTGAATTCTTCTTCTGGTAGTAAAAGAGATAGAGAGGCACTAGAGGCCAGCACTCAAAAAGGGGAAGATAAACTGCCTCAGCAGGAAGAAGGGAAGAAATTTAAGTCAATGAAGGAAAAGGTGGGGGTTGCCAGCCTCGAATGGCACCCCAGTGACAAATGTTAGCTGCGGTGTGGAATTGTAGAGGGCTGGGTGGGCCCTCTACAGTTTCCCAAATCCGAGAGTCTTGTAAGGCTCACCACCCAGCTCTGTTGTGTCTTTCAGAAACTAAAAAACAACACTCTTTTGTCAAAACAGTTTGCAGAAAATTGGTGTAACGCCCCAATCGATTTTTAAAGAAAATCCATGGCTTTTCCAAAAATCAAGGTAAAAATTTTCGAAACTTATTTTTCGAATCATAAATTTTTGACGTTACTCATTCCTTTCATAAATACAGTTCAAGTCATAACTGAACTACGGGAATTCATTACCCGATTTTTCAACGCTTTTCATTAACCACATAAATCGATAAATTTAACATCAGATCATACTCAATCAGATATCAAGTAGGGTTTTTCATCGTAAACCAAATCTGAAAGTTCTCCAAAATGAACAAGTTCAAAATCCAATCCAAACAAGTTCAATACCAACATAGTTCATAAATAAGCGGAAACAATTTAATAAGCATAATAAATAAGCATGATAAGCAATGACCACCGCCCGTCTTGTCTCGTCACACGCCACTGCTTAACCTGCATCAGTTACGAGCAGGTGGGAGTGAGTACAGTTAAATATCGTACTCACACTATGCAATGCACATTTATAATATGTCAAATTGGCATGGTCGTAGCATGAACACAAACAATACACATATGTCACATCTCCATCATAACATAAATACTCCTGTGCACATCTTTCATAATAGTCGCGGAAAGGGGATTCATTACCCTAATGGCGAGAGTACGTGCCACGCAAGGACACGGCCTTTCATAATAGGTCTTTACGGAGACTTGCCTCATAAGGCAACCGTATTACATCGACGGGGACAACCGTAACGATGGCCATCAAAATAGCTCACATCGATAGGCTACATATTCACGTTCATACATAGATCACGCCAAAACGGAAACACATATTTAAACACACATTGCACAGATAATTTTAGAATAACAACCCACCTGGATTCCGGATTGATGATAACTCAAAGCAATGGAAGTAGGTCGAGGCTTGACTCCTCAAACACCTACATTATGTCAAGATCCTACAATCAATATCTTGACTTAATCGGAAAACACAAAACAAACCTAGTCGAACTTGTTTCGACTAAGTAGTTCGTGAAGTCTTGTGGACGTTGGAACACTTAGACTCGGCACTATACTCGACCAGACCATATATGGGAGATCACATAGATCCATCTAAGGATAGACCAAGTTCAACTCACAACAGAATGGAAAGCAAGTCAATCACAGATTTAACTTCAAAATCATAGTTTAAATAAATTTACTAGCTATTAATCACATGAAATTCATTGACCAGGCTGCCCTTCGACTTAGGCTCTGAAATTTTACACAAAATTACATCTTCCAGTAATAAGTAAAACCATAAATTTTCAGCTTTAAACTCAAAGCACGTTAATTTATAAAATTCCTACGAGAAATCAGCAAAAACGCAAATGAATTCATATCCGAACCAAATGAACGATTCAGGACTTGAAAATTTAACACAACAAGCTACAGCATGATAGAGACAACATGTAAAAATCTCAGCCCTGGACATTAACTTTGATAATTTTAAAAATTCATGCAAGATTCTGCAGTTATCGAATTTAAGTCAGAACAGGACTAAAATGAACTCCAAAAATTTTCATCTTTTAACAGCATGAATATACACTCAAAATAAACATCTCAACCAAGTTTCAGAATTTTACAACAACCAACCGATTTATAGTAATTCAAACAACTTTCTGCACATTCAGAAACTAAATTATTTACCCTATCAAACTTAGTCCAAAAGTTCTAAAATTTTAACACAACATATAAAAAAATCAGTGGTACAACATACCAAAATTTCAACTAATTTGAATCAAGAACCAATTTATTAGGCATTAAACAATATTCTGATCAGAATTCACTCTATTTATCAAAAATAGCTACATGCCTCTAAAAATTATGAAATTTTTACACGAGGCTGCCAATGAACAGGAAGCATACTCCTCAAAATTTCAAGTCATTCCGAGCAGCGTGCTATTTTTAAAAATTCAAACACCAAAACAGCGATATATATGCTCGACAACTTAGCAATTAATTCATAACATGAAATTTCTCGTCCGAGGCCTTCCCATAAGGCCAAGGGTCTCGACATCGTTCCAATATCCACCGACTTACACGAGTTTCGAGGTCTCGTTCAATTTCTCATAATTGAAGAGGTCCTCGAACACTTAAACGACACACATAAATTCACAATTATCACATAGCTCATATCAAACACATTATCACATAAATAATCATATCTCGAATTCAACATAACGAGCACAACGTGAATGTGATTTAAACGATATGGGATTTCGCCTACGTACCGTTCTCGGAAAACGGAACGAAAAAGACGAACGAGGTGACGGGCTCGACGGATTCTCGCGTCTCGCGGGTAGGAGCAGCGCTGACGAGTCTCGTCGGGGACTTGCTGGTCGCTGCTAGGGTTCGGCAAGGAGCAGCGAGCGAAGGGCTGCGATGCTCGGAGGACGCTCGCCAGAAAACGGGTGGTCCTCGGTTTGCTGATAGACGCTGCTCGACGAGACATCGCGAAATAGGGAGGACGGGACTCATTGGGAACAGGGCTGCTACTTCTCGCCGGTGATGTGCAGCAGGGCTTCACGCCGGAATTCGTGAGTGGAGCAGCGGCGCATGGTCGCCGGAGTACAGCGACTGGTCATGGCGGCGAGTGGAGAAGCAGCAGGCGGCGGTCGTTTGCGGAAGAAGGGTCCTGCTCGCGGTTGGTTCTATGCACGAACGGAATTGCCGGAGGAAGAGAGTTCACCGGGTTGCTGTTGGTCGCTGCGGATCGCCGGAGGTTGCTGTGCGAACGGGAAATCGCCGGAGATGAGGGCAGATCGGGATTCTCGCTGGTTCACGTCGGGTGGAGGGTGACGGGAGAACGAAGGTGAGGTGATCTGCTTCACGCCGGCAAGATGGCGACGATGGTGATGATCGGAAATTCCAAAAAAACGAGGAAGAGGATCGATGGAGGAGATGCGATCGAAGAGAAAAATAAATCTGTTTGAGGCTGCGTGGTTCTGAGAAGAGAACGACTGAGAAGGGAACGAAATAAAAATTCGGGCTTAGGGTCATGAGCTTAAGTGGGCCGGGGCGCCGGTTAAATGGGCCGAAGTTTCGGTTAAGAGCGTACGGTTCTCTCGGGCTCAATTTTTGATCGATTTAGCCAAAATAAAATGGCTCGGTTTGCACAATAATTAAAAATAAAAATTACGGCTATTATAATAAAATATATTTCACATATTATTTATAATAATAATACACATTAAACATTTATTTCACAATTAGGCATTTAAATAGAATAATAATAACAATAATAAAAATAATATTAATAATGACAATAATATTAATTAATTAAAAAAAATCCCAAATATTCCATAAACGAACGGGGCGCTACAGTCTACCCACCTTACAAAGAATTCCGACCTCGGAATTCGAACAACAAACTACGACGAGAATCTAACGAGAAATAAGAGGAGACAACATCAGCACATGAAATTCAGGTGCTTCCTCCGAATTTCAGTCTCCCTCTCTCAAGTCGCCTAGCCTTGACCACCCTCCCACTGGACTTGACGAGTACCCCTCCCAGTCTTATCCTAATGGACCCTCTGATCCAATTGGTCACAGGTACCTCCATACAGGTAGGGTTCTGCCTATCACGCAGCTCGTCACATCTCACATGTACTCCGAGATCACGCACACGTTTACTCCATCAAGAGGCATAGGACGTGTCATGCATCCTCGCGAGCTCCGGTGGTGGAGTCAACCATCAGGCTAAATCATCGACTTGATCAGGAATCAAAATAGGACTGAGTACGCGTGGCAGTAACCAGAACATCGGCCTACTCCACCTCTATCCGTACCAGTCACCTCGCATGGTACCATTAGGGTTGTTGCTAATTAACCATCGTTACCAGCGTACCTCCCCATGGTAAGGAACTCTCACACTCTACTCATCTATCAATACACAAGACCCTAACCGGTCCTTACGTGTCTCGATAGCATACCCCAACAAAATCAACATATAGGGTTGAGTTGTTGTATCGAGCTTCATCTCGTGCCCAGGTCACGGTAGGGAACTCGATTACTACAACGACATGATCTGTGCGTCCTTATAAAACAGGCCGCCACAGAATCCCATACGGATGGGCTAACAATCCACAATAACACTATATCTACAACATTGATACCTACAGAACACACGGCTCTGTTTGAATACCGTTGTCAACAACTCTACCCTTGCCGACTCGAATAACACCTCGAATGCGGTTTAGGAAATATCGACTAGATGTTCGAAAACAATCTCCTATCGCAGAATCGGTTCACGATTAGGGATGCTCGATATTCCCATACTAACGATCTAACACCAATACTCTCTCACTCTTCGTAGGTCTCGATCCCTACGAAGTATACATAGCCTCCAATCGAGACTCGGGATAATGCCCGAAAACGATGAGGGACCTAAATCTCACTATCACGAGAGAATTTCGCATAAGACAAAGGAAAATAAATCGACGAGCCTCACATATCGAGAGTCATTGATTAGGGATTTCATACCACGGTTCAGTTTGGGGTTTAATGCACTGTCACCCGAGAGATGACACACACACAGGCGCTGCATAAGCGGGGCGCCAGGACGTGTGCATGCATCTGTTCAGAGACCAGCTGCAAGATCGAGGTTTGGCCGTACACATTACCTTGGGATTCCTGTGTTCGGTGATGGCGGCGGCAGCTCTCGTGCGAGTCAACGGTCGGCCACTGCAGTTGGCCT